ACAAAGGCACCTATGATAAAAGACAGCTAATCTTCTCATGTCTTCCACTCTCAATGGCCAGGTCTTGGTCACAGCCATAAAGGAGGATGGAGCGGACTTCTAAACAGTACACACGCCCTTTGGTCGATAGTCGAATATGTCGTCTACTCCAGAGACGGCGTAAAATGGCATATGCGAAACTAGCCCCTGTATCCGTGCTGAGATTTCATCAGAGATCAACCCGTTGGCACTGGCTGATGGTACTTCCCAAATAAGTGAAGCGGTTAACGTGCTCTACCACTTCACTTCCTATTTTTAAACTAGGAGTCACTGTAGTCCAGCCCTGTACTTATGTTTCATTTAAGCAAACAGAAATAAACAAAATTAACAGAAGTCCAATCAGATGGTCTCCAAAGTGTAGGAACAATCAACAGAATTAGAATAATGAATTAGGCCACTACGTGCACATATAGTGTACTAACTAGATTAGGGATTGAAGGTTAAACGACATGCTGCTGCTTGGCTAATTCAAAAACACTAGAATATAAATGTGACCACAAACGTGACTAGTTCACTTGCAAACGTGTATCTTTTCTGTGAATAACTTAGCAACATGTCTTGTATCCTCACAACCCTAGATATTAGAAAGTATATAAACAAACCCGAAATAACACATTAGACGTGTGAATATAAAAATATATTCACCAATCTAATACAGGCCTTTTGCAACAACAAAGACTGATAGATTTAGACAGTCTCATAGATTGAGAAGGCGGAGAAGAGGTCAGTATGATCTCAACAATAGCTGACTAGTTCACATAATTTAGGCGGTGCGTCAAGATTTGATGGATTTCAGCATAGATTTTGTCAGAGACCCACAACAATCCTATTTTGGGAATAAGCCAATCTCTGGCGAAGTTAAAGTCCCGTAGGCAAAGTCAAGCTCAGTCAGAAGTTGACCATCAAGAACCAATCAGATTTGGGGAACACTATGAAAGGTGTCATTCCAAATCAATTGATGCCTGCCTTTCTGGATTTGGCGAGAGTAGATACAGTATTCAACTTATTCCCTAGGTACTTCTTTTGTAATTCCACACTGACTGTTAGGTAGGGTTATGGTTCTTAAGATTAAGTTTAGGGTTATTAAGGGTAGGTTAAAGAACAGTGTCAGAAATAGCAATAATAGATCTCAAAGTATCATGATTCTCAGTCACCTGGATGGATACATTTATCGCTCATGGTGTGATTTCCCTATAGACTTTCCGTGCAGTGATTGGAAGATATTCATACAACACATAAGCGACGATTATCCCGTGTAATATCATGTTTGACACATTTTTTAAATCAATTTTTTCAACGATTATTCGACTTGTTTTTGCATCTGAATTCTGGCCGGTTGTTCACGGCCACTGTGAATTCGGCTGTGGTAGTTTAACTTCATCGCTTCTCCTCCACTAGATAGCAATCTTTTCCACTGACAACAGAGTTAAAATTTTGACACAGATAACACTGATGATAACGACATCCAGAAGTATATAAACCCTGGAACGTTGAGTTGTCGGTCTAGTGGGGATTTGAATAATTACGTCAATTTTGAACCCTCTTCAATTAGGGGACAATTAAAAATTGAATTCGGTTTGTGATCACACTCGGAATCAGACGAAATCCATACAAACCAGTTGATGAGAATCAATCTAATGTTGACTAGTGAATAACTACAACACAGTGGATTTGCCTGAAGTTCCTAGTGAGATGTCATGACCTCTGGGGTCCACCACCACCACACAAAATTGGATGTGGAGAGAGACAATCGTCGATGAAATTGGCTGGCTATTGCGTTATATATTTTTTTACACATTATCAGAAGCTAGAATTCATGGACTGACAATTGGATGTCGTCTCAGTGGTCAACAGGGTTACTTTAGTAATCTCTGAACATTTTCCGGCATGGTTAGCAAAGGGACAATGCAAGACAATTACTAGCTCAATTCTCGAGCACTTGGTGAACTCAGGCCATGTAGCTCCACCAGAGTCGTCTTTCAAGATTATCTACAAAGTGAAGCTAAATGGTACAAAAGGCGTCAGATTTTGGCTTTTGTGTATGGTGGAGGCGCTGGCAATTCGTCACTACAACCCTGAACTCTGTATACAGAAAACGTTTGTCCAGACTCTTATTCTATCATGGTCTTAACCTCTTCACTAATCGTTCCCTGTAAAAAAAATTTGGATTTTTTCTTTTCTTTTTTAATTTTACTTTTAGTTTACTTTTGCTTTAATAATTAATTCACTATTATCAGTTTCATATGCTCCTTTTGTATATTTTCACAGCCTCTTCATACTTGTTGAATTGACACTCAAATACCACCTTTATTCTCACTCAAGAGCAATTTTAACCTCGTCGAATTTCTATCTTTGTTCCGTTGAGTACCACGTAATTTACAACTCTTAATTTTCACTTCTAAAGCCACTTATGACTAATTACATCAATTATGTCACCCGCCGCTATTACTCAATAACAGACCACTATATATTTTTGTAAGTATAAATACGAATGTACAGCCTCTGAAGGAACGTGATTTCATCGATAAAGAAAATTTTCTTCGCTGAATATGTCCTTTATTTTCTTCATGACTCAATGGGTATTTTTTGGTAATCTGAAGGTTTTGCACATCCGATTTTTTGGTGAGCTCATAGACGCATGCCGCTCAAGAGCTCAAAATAAGGAGGAAACAATCTAGTGCATGGTGACTGGCATTGAATGGAATCCACCAGGATGCGCATTTCGAAATTCGGGACTCATCCTATGGATGTATCTCCACCCCCTCAGTCTGTGATGGTACTCCCATTGAGGCGCAAACCAAATACCCATCGTTTCAAAGGTCAAAGTACCATCCACTAGACCATCAGTTATAGGGACTTACTCGTTCACTGATTAGACGGAAGTGTTCGACCTTCCATCATCAATCAACAGGGGAGAGGGTTCAAAGTGAATTAAATAACAACCGATGTTCATTGCACAAGAGGTGGGGTAGCTGTAGTAGTCCAAGTTAAATCTTCAGACATCGCATCAAAGTATCCTCACAAGAAGCTGACACGTCAACCTGAGGTCGAGCACTTCAGTTCAATCAGTCGTCAACAGGAAAGTTCAAAAACCAACAAACTGGCAGAAGAAGCAGACGGCGTAGACAGGACTTTAAGTGAATACACATAGGGCAGACGGAGGTGATGAAAATAACCAATCAACAACAACAGTAACAAAAAGCTCCCAAATCACTATCAACGGGAGAAACTTCAGGGATGTCATTTCCTTCACTGATCTAGGGAACATCATTTCAACTACAAGTAGACAGCAGGCACGGATGAGGATTGGAAATCCAAGACAGACATTCATCCCACTGAAATCTCTGTGGAAATCTTCCGCATTCAATATGAAGGACCAACGTCTGATTTTAAACACCAAGTCAGCCAACCACTTCTTCTAAATGGGTCAGAAACTTGCCCTGTGCATCATGAAAAGCAATCCCAACAGGCTAATTTAGAATTTTACCACTAGCTGCCCACTTCACTGGCTCCACTTCGAAGATTACAGGACTAGCTAGGAAGAATTAGGAACAAGGAACTCCGGGAACTAACTAATCATGAACCTATCGCTCAACAAATATATAAAAAAATGGAGATGAATCCGACAGAATTTGAGGAGATCGTTGAGTGACATCGTGCGCCAGGCCAGGTCCTTAGTGGAACCTGAGTGGGAAGCAAAGAGTTGGGTGTGGGTCGAAAGGTGACATGGAAATAGAACTTTGCACCGATGTGCAACAGTTCAAGTTGCCACACTCCCCCCCCATCTACCATACAAAGCAAGAAAAGAAAGTAGAAGAAATGCATAATAGAGACAGTAAGCGAAGTGTGAGACATATAAAAAGAAGTAATGAAGAACAATGTAGTTTCATTGGAAATCATAAGTCACAAGGAGTGGATACATCAGCTCTACCCATTGAGAACGATTTTGAGCTACATCACCAATTGTTTCCAGCCTTCATTGGTTTTTACCATCCCGAGGACCCAAACCAGGAAGTATACATCTTCCTACGTGGCTTAAACTAACTGTTGTGGACTTCATTGACTGTTGCCGCCATGTTTTGGTTTGACCGCCGCTACCTCTTTTCCAGTCTGACCCTATGTCAGTTAACAATGCCCATCGAGGAAAGTGATGGCTGGGCATACGTAACACATGTCCTAACCATCTCAGTCTATGTAACTTCACAACTTCAACGATTGATTTCCCCTCCCAACTACCTAGCACTCGACGCCTAACCTCAATGTTGCTCACCTTATTATGCCGCTTCACACGAGAGATAGAACAAAGGCACCTATGATAAAAGACAGCTAATCTTCTCATGTCTTCTACTCTCAATGGCCATGTCTTGGTCACAGCCATAAAGGAGGACGGAGAGGACTCCTGAGCAGTACACCCGCCCTTTGGTCGATAGTCGAACATCTCGTCTACGCCAGAGTCGGCGCAAACTGGCAAATGTGAAACGAGCCCCCTGTATTCGTGCTGAGGTTTCGCCAGAGATCAACCCGTTGGTACTGGCTGATGGTCTTCCCAAATAAGTAAGGCGGTCAACGTGCTGTACCACTTCACTCCCTATTTTTAAACTAGGAGTCAATGTAGTCCAGTCCTGTAACATCCTCTTGCATTTGGCGGGAGCAAATCGCATCTCAAACATTTGTAGATTGCAGCTCAAGGTGTTCGGAAGACTCTGCTTGGTTTTGTCAGCGTCATCGCCTAGAAGGACTATATCATCTGGAGGAGGTGAGCAATCGTGGGACAAGCCAAAGAGGACAGGACAAAGTGGAGATGTACTTTTGAAGCCTTGTATGTACCACTCGGAACCCAAGAGAACAATAATATAAGTTAATAATGGCTTGGCATATAACATCGTAAAATTTGTTTCGAGCAACATGGTTAAAGAGCAAAGAGGTGTCTAGCAGGACATTAAAGAAATGTTTAAACTTACATTGCTCAAGTCGATTTTTGTCTTTGTAGCAATCACATAGTTTGGATGAACACGACGTAGAGGACAGCCATTATAACGATATGGTCCAGTCACCAGTAACAGACCAGAGGATTTATGTCTACCTAAACAAACGACACGTTTACCACGATGTCGTCCTGCCAGCAGAATGACAATCACTCCACTCTCACGTAAACTTGATCGTATACACCATTTTTTCATTATTTGATTCCGTCTACGCTTAATTGTTCTCTTCCTCTTCTTCTGATCAGGTTTTTCTGATGAATCGTCATGTTTTTCTTCAGCGGGTTTGTCAGTCTTTCGTCGTTTAGCAGCTCTACGAGCAGAACGAATAGAACTCGGATCAACCTGGGATAGACAAAAAAATAGTATGGCATTGAATATATTGCGGAATTTCTGTCAAAAATTGAAAGGTGTTCCGGAATAAAATACTTTTGCTTCAAGATATTTCTATCTTGGATTTTTTTCCTTCAGGTTCCCAGTGGAACATAGGGCGGCTTCAAGCTAGTGGCTTGAAGTTTCTGTAGCAGTGGTGTTTAATTTTACAGGATGAAGTTGCAAGCCTCATGCGCAACGTTTCCTCCTTAACACAGCATTATTCCTGGCTTAACAAGGTAAAGGAGTGCGTCTGTGGCCGGGGATCGAACCCCGGACCATGTGCATGGTCGGCGGGCGTCCTAACCACTGTGCCACCGACGCCTATCTTGGATTTAGCGAATTCATATGATTTAATAGTGTGAAATATTCCCCCCCATATCATGAATTAAAAGTCAATCTGAACGAAGAATATTCATTTCACAATAATTTCTTCTCTTCAGGTTCTTACAATTATAAAACAATTATAATATTTACTGTCGTTAGAATAATGATAGCCAGTTAGTTATGCGGCGGATACCTTTTTTACGTAGAATAACAGATTAGTTATGGGGTTTCAAAATAAATAGTCGTATTTGTGTGACAAACGCACTAGGCTGAAATCGAATACAAGATCTTGTAAAATGAGAGACAACGGTGGAAAAAAGTAACTACTTTTACATCTACAATTCAAGGGAGATACTCCTGTGGAGATTCTATAGCAACGTTTAACAAGGTCGATAAAGAAACTCTCTACTCTGCACATCTGTATCTAGCCTTCAGTAACCGTCCAATGTTCAGTCAGCAACTCAAAGATGTTTTACCTAACCTTCACTCTTCTTCAGGCGTTTACCATTTCAACGGTTCCTGTGGTTCAAGTTATATTGGGCGCACGATTAGGCAGGTTCGTCTACGGGTCAGAAAACACTTACCAGCTTGGTTCAGTAAAGGGGAAATTAAGTACATGAAAAGCTCAATCCTGTCACACTCAGTCGATACTGGACATAGCATCGATGTCAACACAGCTTTCAGGGTTATATACCGAATTCCAAAGTCGTTATGACGCACAGTTCGCTTACGTCTCCTACACATATCTGAAGCTGTTGCAATAAGATTTGTATCCAAAAAGAACACGTCCAGTCGCTGGCTGTTCCAACCGTGGTCAAACTTGGATTGATGATTCCTCTTCTTCTCACCAAGAGTGCGCCTTCCCCTTAACCCATTTGGTTTTTTTCTTTCTTTGCTTATAATTACGATTATTGTCATTATTATTATTCATAATTTATGCCCTTCATGCAAACATTTCCTCAATACTATCAAATTTTCCATTTATGCTATCCGGACTTATTATTAGTGACATGATCCCTTTTCTCAATATATGCCTCCACCTGTTTCATTTCATACATTCGTTATTTCATTATGAACCACCTCTCATTGCAGTCTTAGTATCTCCTGTTTAATACAGACCATATTTCATATTCAGTTATCTATGACCATGAACTTTTAGTCGAATGTAATCACCAAAAAATTGAATATAAAAGTACACATTGTTTACAGTATTTAAAAAAAAATAGTTGACGAGAAGATGGATCATTTGGGAGAAGCATGTACAGAAAAAGTACATTCACAGGGCAATGCACACACACTTTCTTAGTTACGTGCCCATTAAATATAAAAGAAATGCTGTTAAATGTCTTACGAGCAGAACAAAAAAGATAGTTTACCGATGACCACTTACAAAAGGAATTTGAATATGCATTCATGAGTCCTTGATGGAGATGGGCTATGACCAGTAGTTTCATAAAGAAATGTATGAACACGTTGGAGAGAAAACCTCCTGAGACAATGACTGCAGGTAAAAAAAACCCTATGTATTAAGTTACAGTTCAACGATGACTTATCAAGTGAGATTTCATTCCAGAGACTTTCCAGGAGTACACGAAGAACGTTTTATGTGGCAAACCTCTATCTATGTTTGTCATTCTCTAGTCGACGAATGATTGGGACGCAAACAAAGGATAAGCTTGATAGTTTTGCCATATCTATGTGCATTTTTCAATTCAACTGCACCTGCGGTGACAGTTATGTTGAACGTAGATTACTAGATTACTACCATCGTGGTGGTTTGGCAAAGGACAGATAAAACAATCCGTAGCTCCATTTTGTCACATTTAGTTGACAGTAGCCATATAGTGGAGAAAACGAGAGTTTTCAAGGTAATTCACCAAATCTTTCCAATAGACTTCGTATTCGTCTATTGCACACAGCTGAGGCGATAGGCATTCGAACTATAAGGCCCCTAAACTATGCATTCAAAAGAAGTTGGTAAACGCAGCCATTATCCCGCCATTGTTGGCCTATTAAGATACATAACCAACTGTTGACATCGCCACTACCACCTCTTACTTATATTTCCAACCCCTTTCTTATCATTATAATAAAGGCGTTTTTGTATTTTGGTCAGTATTTTGGATAACTAATCTCAATGGGCTGGACTTTGCCGATGATATATGTCTGATTTCTCACAAACTGGAAGATATGCAAGTGAAAAGCAAAAAGTTGGCAGAAGAAGCATCAAAGATAGGACTTCAGGTGAACATAAAGAAGGTGGAGACAGAGGTGATGAAGATTCCTAGCCAACAGAAACAGCCACAGCAACAACAAAAGATGACAATCAGCATAAATGGAAGGAACATGAAAGAAACAACCTCCTTCACCTACCTACCTACCCTGGTGGGAAGCATCGTTTCAACTACAGGCTGACGGAACTGACGAGGATAGCAAAGCAAGAATCGGAGAAGCAAGACAAGCATTCATTACTCTCAAGTCTGTGTGGAGGTCAACAGCACTCAGCATCAAAAATAACATCCGGATTTTCAACTCCAATGTGAAGTCAATCAGTGTTACTATACGGATCAGAGACTTGGCCAGCGCGTCATGAAGAGCACCCGAAACAAACTACAGACCTCCACCAATGATTAGCTGTCTTCGCTCAGTACTACTCAAGATCAGATGGCCGGCCAGAAAAGATCAGCAACAGGGATCTCTGGCAATGAGCAAACCAGCCAGGAGCCAACAAATAGGCAGGAAGAAATGGAGATGGATTGGCTGGCCATACTCTGAGGAAACCATCAAGTGAGTGACAAGCCATTGCTCTAGTGGAACCCGGAAATGGGAAGCGACGAGTTGGTCGTCATTGCAAGGGTGACTTGGAGGGTGTCATGTGAAGAGGAGATGAAAGCATGTGGGGAGACGTGGAGCGGGTTGAAAACGTTGGCAGGGAGCCGAACGCAATGGAGACGCGCGGCTGAAGCCCTATGTTCCTCTAGGAATTAAAGGATATAATAATAATAATATCCGTGTATGTAGAGTATTCAGCTGAAGAGTAGTTCTGTCGAAATTTGATGAATTCTTATTAAATCCTGCTTTATTACCCCCTTTGTTGCTTATTTTAAATATTCATTCTTCTACTGCATAACTACCAAAAAACATTAATAAGTACTCAAAACAGCAATATAATTGATAAAAACAAAGAAATGTCTTACTTGTGTTGCATAAGACCTTGGAAAACGACGTTTTCTAGTGTTTTCTTGAGATTCCTTGTCATTAATATTAGTAGTAGTAGTAGTATCATCAACACCATCGGATTTCTTTAACTTCCCGCCAGTCTTATCATTCAATGAATTCATCTGATGAAGGACATTATCCAGCTTACTCTTCTTTGACTTCTGCTTCTTCAATTGAAGTTTCTTATCCTTTGGTCTAGGAGGAGAGACTTTCATCTTACTGACAGAAATATGTTGTTCAGGCGAAGGATGAATAGGCGTTTTACTAACTTTTTTAGAAGTTGTAGAATTACCACTATCAGGAATCTGTACATTATTGGAGTTGTTCTTCACTACTTGCCGGGAAGACAATGAAGACTTTTCAGCTTTCTCACTACTGTACAATAGAGTCGACTCCGTTGACATGGAATTCTTACTATCGGTGTTCAAGGGTGTCTTACTATTATTATTCTTCTTCTTGGCCTTTTTACTTTTCCCTGGTATACTGACATCCTTACTAGAAGGTTTACTGCTATTATTCAAGGATGATGTTGATAACGGGATTATTGTTGAAGATTCTTTCATTTCAATATCGTCGTCTACCAAGGAGGATACTGGAAGTTGATCCCCATTGGCTGCCGTCACTGAACTGAGATCGATTGAATTTTGAAGAAATGCAGGAACTGTGCTGTTAACAACGGCGTTACTCTGATCAATTTTCATTTCACTGTTATCAGTTGGTTGTAGCGACTTCTTCGGTTTCTTGTTTGACGACTTTTTCAATAATGATGGTTGGTTGGTTGTTTGGGTATTTAACAACTCTGGATCATGTAATTGAAGTAGCTGATTCACTGCATCGCCCAGCTCTCCTTGTATCTTAGTCGGTACACTATTCTGTATTGAAGATTTAGTAGGTTTTGTTGACTTTTTTGAGGCTTTAGGTTCATTGGTTTCAGTAATCACTGTTGTAGCCGCATAGGAACTCGCTTGGATTTCATCTGAAAGCTTTTCAATTGACGAGGTAGTTTTTAGTCCCGCTTCAGTTGTTGGTTTAATAGATTTCTGTAACATGGGGGAAATATCTGACTGGAGATCTTCACCAGCCGCAGCATCACTCATGGTGGTGTCCATCGGATATAGTTTCACCTCATCCATTGAGATATTGTCAGTAATTTGATTCGAAGGCTTCTTTAATATGGGCACTTGTAATGACGTCTGATAGTTTGAAAAATTCAACTCTTGCAATTTCACCTCTTCACTAGACTGGGGTGTTGTTGACCTATCCGGAAGCGATATCATCTGATCAAAGTTGTCAGTTGTAATGAAGTCGGGCACTACAGTTTTATCGATCTCCACACTGGCTTTCTGATGCTTTTTCTTATTTTCTTTGATTCCTTCTTCGACGGAAGATTTCCTACTGGTGTAGTAGAATCGAACTCAGTTTGTGGTAACATGGAAATACCTGACTGAAGACTTAAATCATTTACAGTGTCATCCATTGGGTGTACTTTCATCTCATCAACTGAGGTAGTTAAAACAAAAGTCTGTTGAAAATGTTCTTCGACTGGAGCTTGTAACGGTGTTTGAGAGTTTGTAGAACTTAACTCTTGCCATTTTGCCTTTTCAACAGGCTGTGCAGTACTTTCTGGAGTCGATATTATCTGGTCAAAGCTGTTGGATGTATTAAAGTCGGCGTCTGCAGTCTGATCGATCTCCTGATTGCTTTTTTGATGTTTCTTCTTGCTTTTCTTCGATTCCTTTTTCAACTCCTGATTTACTATTGGTGTAGAATCTATCTCAGTTACTGGAAACTTGGAAATATCTGACTGGACGTCTACGATATGTGCGGTGTCATCTACCGAGGGCACTTTTATCTCATGCACTGAAGTATTCACAACAGTCTTTTGAATATGTTCGGCGATTGGAGCTTGTAATGATGTCTGACAATCTGGTAAATTTAACTCTTGCCATTTCGCCTCTTCAACAGTCTGTGCAGTACTTTCTGGAATCGATATCATCTGGTCGAAGCTGTCGGTTGTACTGAAGTCAAGGTCTACAGTTTTATCGATTTCTTGATTAATTTTGTGGTGTTTCTTCTTGCTTTTCTTTGATTCCTTCTTCGATGCCTGATTAACTATTTGTGTAGAGCCTATTTCAGTTGCTGGTAATATGAGAGTATCTGACTCGAGGTCTTCACCAACCACTTCACACATGGTGGTGTCCGTCGGATGTATTTTCACCTCATCTATTGAAGTATTCAGAACAATAGTTTGTTGAAAATGTTCTTCAACTGCAGCTTGTAATGACGTCTCCTGCCGCCATTTTTCCTCTTCAATAGATAATGCAGTACTCTCTGGAATCGATATTATCTGATCAAAGTTATCAGTTGTACTGAAGTCAGGATCTACAGTTTTATTGATCTCCTCATTGATTTTTTGATGTTTCTTCTTGCTTTTCTTTGACTCCTTCTTCGACGATTGATTATTGACTACTTGGGCAGAATCCACCTCAATCTCTGATAGTTTTGTTGAAAGTGCAGTCGGTTCAGTCGGTTCATGATCAAATTCTTCATGTGTTTTTGTATACATTGAGTTAATTATCCTTGGAATAATCAGAGGCTCTGATGGTGTTTCTCGGTTTTCTGCCGGGCTGACAGTATCATCATTATTCACACTGTCAAAATCATGCTTAATAGTGTGAACAGCATACGACTGAATAACCGACTTTTGAATAAATTCATCAGGATGAGAATCTACAAGAGGAATATCAGTCCCCACCACCACTTGTGACTCTGTCGTATCTGGAGATGTTTTCCCCTTTTTTTTCTTATCCGCCTTTTTACCCGCTTTCCCAATCCCTTCTTGTTTTGGAATCTTTTGATCATGTGAGGTTTCGGCACAGATGTCGCCGTGTTTTTGAGGTGCTACCACTACTACTTCATCAGATGACAACCACTTGGAGGGTTGATTCGATTCAACCGCCATCATGCTAGTCGATGTTGACGAAGGCGTTGATATTCGACTGCTACTATCAAATACTTGTGGACTCGCTGACATAGTAGTGTATGAAGCGTCTGTCTCCAAGGTGGATCTTTCTACTAAGGAAAGTGTGGTATCGTTCGATCCACTGTGTCCACTGTCTATAGAAATACTCATTGCTGATATGGATGTCATTGGAGACATCGGGGAAACAAGGCTTGTGAAGTGCAATTCAGTATTATTATTGTTATTATTATTATTAATAAGTGGTGATTTTGGTTTAGCCATCACTTTGACAGCTTGTCCGTTGTTTTCAAGATTACCGTCATCCATATTCATATTGGTAGTAGTATTAGTAGTAGTTAAAGTTACATTTTGTTGATAATAGTTCTCAAGAATCACTGTTTCCTCTGAAGCCTTGATCAAACACTCCTCGTCTACAAGCATGGCTATATCATTTAGCTCACTTCTGACAAGACCTGGCGTTGATTCACAATGGACTTCTTCAGCAGTACCTGTCTCTGTAGTCTTCTGTTCCGGCACCTCCAACGCTTGTTTCTTCTTTTTCTTATGCTTTTTCGTAGATTTATTAGAAGCATTCATATGAGGCTGTTCCGTTGATGACTGTTCTTCTTGTGGTTTCACCGGCTGATGGTGCAGACTCAGCAGCTGTCCAACAGACGATGATGAGGTAGAGGAGTGCATCTCTTCATTTGGTTTCAAGTTCTGCACAGGGTCAAGTGTACTTTGATCAATAATAAGCGTTTCGCTACATATTGTCTGATGAATTGTGGCATTGAGCTTTGAGTTATCTATGGGGATTTTATCACCATCATTGGCGGTAAGAACACTTCGTCCACTAGCCGAATCTTCAGACCTTTCATCTGTATACTTACGTTTTCGTCTATTCAATTTTTCTTGATGTACAGGAATTATTTTAGCATTATTTGTCACTCCTCGAATCTCATCATGGCTTTCTTCTTGATGGTGAACAGCATCTTTCCGTGGAATGTCTTCGATCTTGTTGTTGTTGCTCCTGCTGTTTTCTGGTACACTTTTGCCATCAACAGGCGGTGGCGGCGGTGCTGGCGACAGATCTGTTGAACATTTCTCTACTGTATGAATAGTAATCTTAATTTTTTGTTCTTCATGAATATGAGTACATAATTTCTTCTGGTCAGCATCCTGGACAAAACTTGGTTCTTTTGATGATGGTGGCTGTGTACGCGTTGTGCTTGACTCACTTGGCTGAGAGCTGTATGGAAATGGGAAGATGGGGTGGGGATGGAAAACAAACAAAAATTACATTATATATATATATATATGCGTTTCTTTAAAGAGTTGTGTTGTATTCATAGTGTACAGGACTCAAACACCTTAAACAGTTGAAACCCAACCTATTAATGGTTGAATGGCAATCGCTTAGTTAAGAGATATAAAGAAAAGTGAGCGCACCTGGTGAACACTGCTCAAAAACACTCAACCAGGGAGATACATCCGCTCCATCATGTTTATTGATTTCTTAACTAGTTTCGACCTGTTCTCTCATCCAAACTGCTTCATGTAGAAATTTTTAATAATAATAATAATAATAGCAGTTTTATTTTGTAAAGTGTTTGTATACTGTACAGAATTTTCAGCGATCTTCATTGCATGATATCTTCTCTTCAGATATGATAGACAAGATTTGTAGCTCGGATGAATGATTTTGGTGTTATCGTGTTCTCTGAGCTGGACAGTTAACCACATCATAATACCTTCTCTTCATTCAGAATCTACAAGTAAAATAGTAACCGAATGGCTGTTTCGTCCTAATTTGGGACTTTTCACAGTACGCATCCACCGAGACTTGAACTCGGGACCTTCCAGTTACGAGGCGAGCTCTTAGATCATTAAGCCACTGGGATTCCTTATGAAAGTAATTAATTGATAATGAATCTGATGATCACTAGTAACTTGCCCTACACAAGGAGTTACCTGGGTAAGTTGTAACCAGGCAAGAGGACAGTTAATCGCCCGTGACATTGGTTGGCGATTACGCTAAGTATACATATATCACGGAATTGCGGAAGTTCGAATTCATGTCGTGACCATTGGGTCGGGTCCGAGTGACTGAGTGGTCTACGAGCTCACCTTGTAACTGGAAGATGCTTGGTTCGAACCCTTGTGGTAAGTGAGTACTGTGAAGAGTGCCAAACTAGACTGAAGAAACAGCGGTCTACTACTACTCCCTAGCAGATTTTCCAATGGTCCTCAAGCTGATGTCAACAAGTGACCGTTCCTGTAAATAATCAAATCCCTGGAAACCAACACAGTAGTTGACAGGAGATCGTATGACACTAGGCTGTCTGAACTGAAACTGAAACCAATCTCTTGTGAATTGTTTTTTGCTTTCTCAATTCGTGAATAATGCTCATCCAGAGATTAGTGAAAATAAAATATAAAAGAATTGGCAGAAGTTAGAATTCAAGGACCATTGGATCGGGTCCTAGTGGCTTAATCGTATACGAGCTCGCCTTGTAACCGGAAGGTCTTCGTTTCGAACCCCGTGACGTGAGTGCGTAGTGCTGAAGAGTCACAAACTAGGACGAAACAGCTGTCCAGTACTCTCAGTTGGTTTTCCAATGGTTCTCTAACTCATGTCAGCTTATGATGAAATCCTGTAACCAATCAAATCCCTACAAACCAACACTTGAATGCGTAAAAAAAAGTTGAATAAGTGTATTATGGTTACTTAATCAGATGTATAATTTAATCAATGAGTTGTAGTCAGGATGTGCATGTAGAAACGAAGGAGACTATGGAATTACGTAACAGTTCTACGGAAATAAAAAAAAGTTATAAGTAGTTAGTAAAATAAACAGGTACACAAAAACCAGGTCAGTAAAAATGAATAACAAGGTTATTTACTATAATAGAAGAAATGGCTAAAAGAAGATTTCCAAGATTTTTCCAAAAATTGAATAGCTTCAGTAATAAAAAGGAGACGAAAACGTATTCCCTTTGACAGGTTATTCTTCATGTAGTAGATCACTTTGAAGGAGGAGGCGTTTTTTTTGAAATAGAATGATCAGTGTTGGTATGGTGTACGATTATCCCCCATTCTGATAGAGCCGCTACAACATTTATGTTGCCATGTGCGATTGTGTTCATGAACTCGTTTGGATAGGATATGCGTCAAACGACTAATGCACTAGGCTCTACAGCAAACCCACTGTATATACACACGCATACAAAAATAATTATATATAATTGCGATTGTAAAGTCAAGTCAGTGAATTCACTGATAAGATACTCTTCACTGAACTACGTGTGTCTTATTTTCAACTGATAATTTTTCTTTATTGCATATTAGAAATGCGCGGCAATTGACTGAAAAGTATTTTTATTTATTTATTAATTTTTTTTTAATACAGCTTCATTCCACACCAGAATTTTTGGTACGATTATGGAATTTTCAGCATATGATATCGGTAGCCTGAATTTAGCAGGCCAACCCTTGATATCAGGTATGCATCGGCAGGGGATCGAACCTCGGAGGACCATGTGCATGGTCGGCGAGAGTCCTAACCACTGTACCGCCGAGACTTAAGGACAAAATAACTCAGAAACAGTTAACCCATGTCCATAGTTTCAAATGCCAAAGCGTTATCCACTATTAGACCACTTGGGCCACGGGAGCCACCACCTCTTGAGCAACGGGTCATATTAATTATTCAATTCAATTTTAGAGTTTCCCGTCGAAGCATCTGCACACGAAGCCGACATGTCAACCTGAGATCAAGCACTTCGGTCCAGTCAATCGGCAGGAAAATCTAAAATTCAATTAAATAATTAATATGACCCGTTGCACAAGAAGTGACGGCTCTCGTGCCCGTCCGAGTGTTCTAGTAGTGGATAACGCTTTGGCGTTTGAAACTATAGGGGCACTGGGTTCAAGCCTCGGTGGAAAAATCATCACTAGGTGCGGAATGCAGGTGGATACATTCAAATGACGTATCCTAAATAGGACGAAGTGCGCATCCTAGTGGATTCCACTGCTAGTCACCATCCATCAATTAACTTCTAGTTATCCCATGTATTGCAAAACGTGCTGCCACACAGGATTATGCTTTTTCTTAAGTTTACTAGAAAAAGCTCGCACATCAGCAGGTTGTTAACATTTTAAATACTCGCGAGAGTAAACCAGAGGTAATATTTTGGTGGATTCAAACAAACTGAAAAAAAAATAAAATTCAGTACAATGACGAATGTTTATGGTAGCCAAAATTTTAAGCAGTCCTGCCCAAAGTCTATTTTAGAGAAAGGAATATCAGTTTCTTCTAAATTACAAATATGATATCAGTTAGAGAACTCTAGTGAAAGCCACAATGTTAAGAAGGCTAATCGAATCTTTGTCAACCGTGAAAACGTGACTGATGCATGCATTGACATGACTATCTGATTGGTTTATTTCTCGATGACTTTCAAGGTCATATAATCAAATTAAATACCGATTATTTTTTTGCTTATAGATTGAATTTTGACTAATAAAATGTTAGCACTGCTGTTATTATCTCAGTTAAATCAAAATTCTGTGTCCACCTCAGTGTGAGGAGTACCTTCAAATGATAAATTGGTTTATAGGGTCGTGTCTTGAGGCGGCGCATTCTGGTCAAAACTAGTGGCAATTCATTATAACACAGAGTGTACTGGACAAGTGTTGTGTTGTGGAGTCTAGGACTCTTCAGGAGTGCACATTCATGACCCTACCCTCAAGGGATCGAACCCAGGACCTCCAAGTTACGAGATAAGTTTGCTGATCAGTCAAGTATTTTTCCTGAAATCTGACCTGATGGACCCCACTCATCATGCGACTTCTTACTAGGACTCCAGTCAACGTCTTCCAGTAGCCAGTTACTAGTGAGCTTCTGATTCATTTTCCTAGGGATTCTATCGGTTTCAACTGTGATCACGGATTGAACTATGCCATCGAATAATTGTTCGGAATATCCCTTCTGAACGATCTATTGATACTTCTTCGGATGTTGCAACTAAACTTGTAATTATTATTCGTCTTTTCCCTTTACTGTATATCATGGTTTTAACATTTGCATATCTTATTATCCGAACATCGGTGGCATAGCGGTTAGGACGCTCGCCAACCATGTATATGATCCGGGGTTCGATTCCCGGCCGCCAACGCACTCCTTTACCTCGCCAAGCCAGAAATAATGCTGGTAAAGAGGAAAGGTTGGACATGAGGCTAGCAACCCCATCTTGTAAAATAAGCACTGCTACAGAAACTTCAAGTCTCTAGCTTGAAGCTGTATGTTCCACTGGGGAAAGTGAAGGAAAAAAGTTATCCGAACATCACCCTGCCTAGTAGTTAAGTAAAGGTGAAACAAAATCCATTCGTAGCACTGTTCTATCTCATCTTGTGGATACAGAACACAAGATCGATGTTAACGAAGCTTTCAAAGTCATTTACCGCATACCAACTAATCTTAACTTCGCCTTAAGAGTTCGTCTACTACATATTGCTGAGGCCGTTGGGATGCATATTGAGAAGCCTAATTTATGCGTCCAAAAGAAGTAAGTTTAGACATTATCCTTACCTTGGCCATCTAGGTTTGTATGATACTCAATTCCTGTGAAATTTTCCTTATTTTAGTTGATGTTCTATTTGCTATCATATTTTTATTATGACCATAATTTAAGCATCTTTAATGAACTGTGGTAATTCCATTGTGATTTTACTTTACAAATCGATATTATTAAAAAAAACACACTAATATTGTTATTGGCTAGTGATCTAGAATATTCTATATATATAAACATGCATAGATATAATTGTAGAGCCAGAAGACGAAATTATCGAAAAGAATATTCTTTGCTCAATTACTTTGTGTTTAATACATATTAGTCTTTGTTCCCCTCTGTAATCCCTAATTTTAATGTTCCTCTTTGTAGGTGGATGATGCCATTGAAGGAGAATATGTCATTGCAGTGTTTCTGGGAAGCATTGGTGTGTGTTTCTTGTACGCAGAGTTTTTGATCTCACCATGCTGGGAATATTCTCGATTCCAAGTTACCTCTCACAATACCTGCTCTCTTACTTAGTACCTTCTCTTGACTGTATAGCTGCTTAACGACACTGTTGAGATGATCTCGATTTTTTGATGTTACTCTACATGATAGGTAGAACCACACATAAATTTCAAAACGAATTTGACGCATTTTTTCTCTTACTCTGAGTGTCTGAAGACAAGTTTC